TCCAGAGCCACGGTTTGGACGAACTCTCTCAAGCTGAGACTTGTTCACATTTTTCTACAAAGTTATTATTTATTTGAAACCCAGCCACGTCTTTTAATCTATCAACAGGTTTGGGACGTGTTTGAAGATCGTGCTTCACAGACTCCAACTTTAGTCCAATTAAAACTCTTTTTTATACAGTATTTTAAAGACACTGATTCTATATAAGTCTAACTTATCTTTAAGGCTTAAAATGTGCTACAGCCAAACGTGTGATTTTAAAGCTGAACGAGTCTCGTAAACACAAAATGCTGTCTATACTGTAAAAAGAACCCTGTGAGTCACTATTGGACACTTTGGGCTGGGGCCTGATTGGCCGAGAGAGGGTGGTCCTCTCTTTTTCACATTTCTGTCTGAAAATGTTAACCTAAAAAGATAGGCCAAAAATACATTCATGTAAAAATCTCTATCTTTAGAATAATAAAGATATATAATATCTCTATCTGGACAGCACAAAAATGAAAACCGTGACGTCGCCCGGCATGGCGCAGCCGGGGCCCCACCCTGGAGCCAGGCCTGGGGTCGGGGCTCGCAAGCGAGCGCCTGGTGGCCGGGCCTTAGCCCACGGGGCCCGGTCGGGCTCGGCCCGAAGGGACAACGTGGGCAGTCCCTCCTGTGGGCCCACCACCTGCAGAGGGGTCCGTGGTGGCGCGGTGCTGAGAGGACTGGGCAGCGGTCGAAGGCGGAGACCTCGGCGACCCAGTCCGCACACACAACATCAGGAAGGAGCCCGAGCTCGTGGGGGAGGTTAAGCGATACCGACTAGAGATAGTCGGCCTCACCTCCACACACAGCTTGGGCTCTGGAACCCAACTCCTTGAGAGGGGTTGGACGCTCCACTTTTCTGGTGTTTCCCGCGGGGAGAGGCGGCGAGCTGGGGTGGCCATTCTCATTGCCCCCCATCTCAGCCGCCACGTGTTGGAGTTCTCCCCGGTGAATGAGAGGGTCGCGTCCCTCCGCCTCCGGGTGGGGGACAAGTCTCTCATTGTTGTGACGGCCTACGGGCCTAACAGCAGTGCAGAGTACCCGGCCTTCTTGGAGTCCTTGGGAGGGGTACTGGACGGTGCACCGCCCGGGGACTCCGTTATTCTCCTGGGGGACTTCAACGCCCATGTGGGAAATGCCAGTGACACTTGGAGAGGGGTGATCGGGAAGAACGGCCCCCCTGATCTGAACCCGAGCGGTGTTCAGTTGTTGGACTTCTGTGCCAGTCACAGTTTGTCCATAACGAACACCATGTTCGAGCACAAGGGTGTCCACCAGTGCACGTGGCACCAGGACACCCTAGGCCGGAGGTCGATGATCGACTTTGTTGTCGTATCATCTGACCTTCGACCGCGTGTCTCGGACACTTGGGTAAAGAGAGGGGCGGAGCTGTCAACCGATCATCACCTGGTCGTGAGTTGGATCCGCTGGCAGGGGAGGAAGCCGGTCAGACCTGGCAGACCCAAGCGTATAGTGAGGGTTTGCTGGGAACGTCTCGCTGAGCCCCCTGTCAGACGGACTTTCAACTCACACCTCCGGGAGAGCTTCTCCCAGGTCCCGGCGGAGGAGGGGGACATGGAGTCAGAGTGGACCATGTTCTCTGCCTCAATCACCGATGCGTCGGCTTGTAGCTGTGGTCGCAGGGTCTCTGGTGCTGGTCCCGGCGGCAACCCCCGAACCCGGTGGTGGACACCGGCAGTAAGGGATGCCGTCAGGCTGAAGGAGGAGTCCTATCGAGCCATGATGGTTCGTGGGACTCCTGAGACAGCTGTGTCCAGTACCTGCAGGCCAAGCTTGCCGCGGCCCGGGCTGTTGCAGAGGCAAAAACCCGGGACTGGGAGGATTTCGGAGAGTCCATGGAGCATGACTATCGGTCGGCCTCGAAGAGATTCTGGCAAACCATCCGGCGCCTCAGGAGGGGGAAGCAGTTCTTTGCCAGCACCATGTACGGTGCGGGTGGAGAGCTGCTGACCTCGACTGGGGATATTGTCGGGCGGTGGAAGGAATACTTTGAGGTTCTCCTCAATCCCCCCGTCACGTCCTCCGTTACAGAGGCAGAGGCTGAGGATGTTGGGGCGGATACATCCATCTCCCTGGCTGAGGTCACCAAGGTGGTTGGCAGCCTCCATGGTGGCAAGGCGCCGGGAGTGGATGAGATCCGTCCTGACTATCTAAAGTCTCTGGATGTTGTGGGACTGTCTTGGCTGACACGTCTCTGCAACATCGCATGGCGATCGGGGGCGGTGCCAATGGAGTGGCAGACCGGGGTGGTGGTCCCTCTCTACAAGAAGGGGGACCGGAGGGTGTGTTCCAATTATCGAGGGATCACACTCCTCAGCCTCCCCGGTAAGGTCTACTCCAAGGTACTGGAGAGGAGGCTACGTCCGATGGTCGAATCTCGGATTCAGGAGGAGCAGTGTGGTTTTCTCCCCGGCCGTGGAACACTGGACCAGCTTTATACTCTCCATCGGATACTCGAGGGTTCATGGGAGTTCGCCCAACCTGTCCACATGTGCTTTGTGGATTTGGAGAAGGCGTTCGACGTCCTTTGGGGGGTTCTCCGGGAGTACGGGGTCGGAGGTCCTCTGCTGAGGGCCATCCGATCCCTGTATGACCGGAGCCAGAGCTGTGTTCGCATTGCCGGCAGTAAGTCAGACCTGTTCCCGGTGAATGTTGGCCTCCGACAGGGCTTCCATTTGTCACCGGTTCTGTTCACTGTATTTATGGACAGAATATCTAGGCGCAGCCAGGGGTCGGAGGGGGTCCAGTTTGGAGACCACAGGATTTCATCTCTGCTGTTTGCAGACAATGTTGTCCTGTTGGCTCCAACGAACCAGGACCTGCAACATGCACTGGGGCGGTTTGCAGCCGAGTGTGAAGCGGCTGGGATGAGAATCAGTACCTCCAAATCTGAGGCCATGGTGCTCGACCGGAAAAAGGTGCCTTGCCCTCTCCAGGTGGGTGGAGAGGTCCTTCCTCAAGTGGAGGAGTTCAAGTATCTCGGGGTCTTGTTTTTAAGTGAGGGAAGAATGGAGCATGAGATTGACAGGCGGATCGGTGCAGCGTGCGCAGTGATGCGGTCGCTGTATTGGACCGTTGTGGTAAAGAGGGAGCAGCGTCTGCAGTCAGAGCTGTATCGGACCGTTGTGGCGAAGAGGGAGCTGAGCCGAAAGGCAAAGCTCTCAATTTACTGGTCAATCTTCGTTCCCTCCTTCACCTATGGTCATGAGCTTTGGGTAATGACCGAAAGAACGAGATCGCGGATACAAGCGGTCAAAATGAGCTTCCTCCGCAGAGTGGCTGGGCGCTCCCTTAGAGATAGGGTGAGGAGCTCAGTCACACGGGAGGAGCTCGGAGTAGAGCCGCTGCTTCTCCACGTCGAGAGGAACCAGTTGAGGTGGCTCGGGCATCTGTTCCGGATGCCTCCTGGACGCCTTCCTGGGGAGGTGTTCCGGGCACGTCCCACCGGGAGGAGGCCCCGGGGAAGACCTAGGACACGCTGGAGGGACTATGTCTCTCAGCTGGCCTGGGAACGCCTTGGGGTCCCCCCGGACGAGCTGGAGGAGGTGTGTGTGGATAGGGAAGTCTGGGCTTCTCTGCTTAGACTGCTGCCCCCGCAACCCGGCAACGGATAAAGCGGAAGAAAATGGATGGATGGGTGGATGGATGGAACATCTGTATCTTTAGCATAATAAAGATATATAAAATCTCTATCTTTAGTATAATAAAGATATATAACATCTCTATCTTTAGTAAAGTAAAGATATATAACATCTCTATCTGTAGTATCATAAAGATATATAACATCTCTATCTTTAGTAAAGTAAAGATATATAACATCTCTATCTTTAGTATAATAAAGATATATAACATCTCTATCTTTAGTAAAGTAAATAAGCCAGTCTATAGTCTCCAGCTTGGTCCATGAGTAAAGTAATAAACAGTTGTCGTACAGAAGCACAGTTGGATTCCGTGTTTACAGCTAACGTCTCCTGTAGCTAACATTGACCTCTGTTTTTCCGGCCTCTGATGAGTTCTTCCATCTTTAATCCAAAGTGCAGTCCCAGATCCAGGGTCCGCTGCGTCCACACATAGAGGCGTGGACATAGAACTGAGGGATTAAAAGGCACCCCTCTTTTTATTTTGTTATTGAGAACTTTATTTTTGTTTGTTTAGTAACTATTCATGCCATAACTACAATGTATATATAGTTTAAAGTGCAGTTCCTCCCGTGACCAGTAGTCGGCGTATATCGTGGGTAGAAAGTGAGCGCTGCAGAGGAAGAATCAATCCTCTGTCGATTAAACACAGCTGTCTATTCTTTTATCACAGGTTGGTAAAACGTTAAAAACACACGTTTGTGTCAATTGTTAGAGTTATCAGGTGTCCAAGAGTGTATTGTGAACCGTGGTAATGTGTAGAATGAAAGAACCAGGTTTTGCGACTCGTTTTTTATGCTAACATGCTAAGCTGTGGTTCAGGAGGGAAATCGTAACGAACTTGAACCACACCAGTTTATGGTACAAGAACCACACGGGTAGTAGCATAGTGAACATTTATGAAACTTATTAATGCAATACTGTGTTTTGTTGTTTTTTTTGTGTGATAATTATCATTAGGAAGTATTGAAAGTCCTGCTCTGAGTCTGACGCCATCTTGTGGACATTTAAAAGTAGTGCACAAGCAGCGAGAATAATTTAGAGACGATTTCTTTTTTCTTTTTTATGGTTCAAATATGGATAGTTGGACAAGTTGAAAGTGCTCATCTCTGTGTTTTTTACTGCATCCATGTGTTAGAGTTGTTGATTCTCTGATCTCTGAAAATACTTTCACATTCTTATATATACATTCTTAGTGATTGAAAACTGTGACTCTCTGAAGACGTCTTCCTGTCCTCCTCCTCTGATCTTTCACTCTCCACAAAGTGATAAATGTGAGTTTGATTGAGGATGTAAGTGTGAGCCTCAGTTTTGGCCAAAGAAAAGAAACAAACCAAATATGGAGAAAACAGGAAGTGGTAAATCACCGGGGGCGTGTCCGCAGCGGTCTGCACATGGACATTACCGGGGGCGTGTCCGCAGCGGTCTGCACATGGACATCACCGGGGGCGTGTCCGCAGCGGTCTGCACATGGACACACCGGGGGCGTGTCCGCAGCGGTCTGCACATGGACATCACCGGGGGCGTGTCCGCAGCGGTCTGCACATGGACACACCGGGGGCGTGTCCGCAGCGGTCTGCACATGGACATCACCGGGGGCGTGTCCGCAGCGGTCTGCACATGGACACACCGGGGGCGTGTCCGCAGCGGTCTGCACATGGACATCACCGGGGGCGTGTCCGCAGCGGTCTGCACATGGACACACCGGGGGCGTGTCCGCAGCGGTCTGTACGTGGACATCACCGGGGGCGTGTCCGCAGCGGTCTGCACATGGACATCACCGGGGGCGTGTCCGCAGCGGTCTGTACGTGGACATCACCGGGGGCGTGTCCGCAGCGGTCTGTACGTGGACATCACCGGGGGCGTGTCCGCAGCGGTCTGCACATGGACATCACCGGGGGCGTGTCCGCAGCGGTCTGTACGTGGACAGAGGTACAGGTTTGATACACAAAGAACTAGATCAAAGAGAGTTAAATGTATGTGTGTGTCATGTATCTCACAGGCTCACACACCAGATCCTGTCAGAACTCTGGAGCTGTGCAGGGCAGGTCCTGGTCAATACTGTGATGGGAGACCTCTGAAGTAAAGTAGAGAAGCACTGAGTAAAACCACAAAGAAGTCCACTTTAAGCCTAGTGTATACCTGCGCGGCGTGGCTTACGTTAGCGGTTGCGGTGGACCTACGTAAGCACAATTGATGTTATACTGGCGCGTTCCCCTTACGGAGTTTTGAGGAGAATGTTGTAATCCCACAACAAACCACATGAGGGCGATCACACAGGAGCGGTCCCATTTACTTTGTCCTCTTCAGAACAACAATAGCAAACAAAGCTGTTTAAGCTCATTACACGTGTTTCTACTGTAGGTTTATGTGATAGTTTTATGGATTCATTATTTTATAAGTCATTTCAACTGTGATGCTGTGAATAAAGACAGTTCTGTTGGAAACATAGTTATTATTAAATAGTTTTCAGCACAAACAGCAAAACAATAATCGTGGTAAATATCTGAGACATATATATATGTTAGATATAAGTTAGATATAAGTTATATATATGTTAGATATAAGTTATATATAAGTTATATATAAGTTAGATATAAGTTATATATATGTTAGATATAAGTTATATATATGTTAGATATAAGTTATATATATGTTAGATATAAGTTATATATATGTTAGATATAAGTTATATATATGTTAGATATAAGTTATATATATGTTAGATATAAGTTATATATATGTTAGATAGTCCACAGTCTCCTGTATATCAGGCTCTGAGCCCAAACTGCTTTTCCTTGGAAGCACAAAGCTCTCTGCTCCATAGTGCCTCCTCCATGCTCCTGCTGCAGCCGCTCCGTGCTTCCTTCCAATACACACACACGGACCAATCACAGCGGAGCTTCTCTCACACACGGACCAATCACAGCGGAGATTCCTTGCGGCGACCCTTACGTAGTTAGAAAATTTCGATGCTGCGCAGCAGGCGACGTAAGGGCCTTGCGGTGACCAACGCGTTGCGCAAGTGACGTCACCTCCGTAAGCTCCGCGCCGCGCGAGTATAAACTAGGCTTTAGTCTCACAGCACCAGCTCTGATTGTCCTTCACTCTTCATATCTGGTGCCATGAAGACTATCTTCAGCATTTAGATAGAGATACATACATAGATACATATATACATAGATAGATAGATAGATAGATACAGTGCCTTGCGAAAGTATTCGGCCCCCTTGAATAATTTAAACTTTTTTAACAAATAAAAAACTGAAAAGAGGGGCGTGCAATATTATTCGGCCCCTTTACTTTCAGTGCAACAAACTCACTCCAGAAGTTCAGTGAGGATCTTTGAATGATCCAATGTTGTCCTAAATGACTGATGATGATAAATAGAATGCACCTGTGTGTAATCAAGTCTCCGTATAAATGCACCTGCTCTTTGATAGTCTCAGGGTTCTGTTTAAAGCACAGAGAGAACCATGAAGACAAAGGAACACACCAGGCAGGTCCGAGATACTGTTGTGGAGAAGTTTAAAGCCGGATTTGGATACAAAAAGATTTCCCAAGCTTTAAACATCTCAAGGAGCACTGTGCAAGCAATTATATTGAAATGGAAGGAGTATCAGACCACTGCAAATCTACCAAGACCAGGCCGTCCCTCCAAACTTTCATCTCAAACAAGGAGAAGACTGATCAGAGATGCAGCCAAGAGGCCCATGATCACTCTGGATGAACTGCAGATAACTACAGCTGAGGTGGGAGAGTCTGTCCATAGGACAACAATCAGTCGTGCACTGCACAAATCTGGCCTTTATGGAAGAGTGGCAAGAAGAAAGCCATTTCTCAAAGATAGCCATAAAAAGTCTTGTTTAAAGTTTGCCACAAGCCACCTGGGAGACACACCAAACATGTGGAAGAAGGTGCTCTGGTCAGATGAAACCAAAATCAAACCTTTTGGCCACAATGCAAAACGATATGTTTGGCGTAAAAGCAACACAGCTCATCACCCTGAACACACCATCCCCACTGTCAAACATGGTGGTGGCAGCATCATGCTTTGGGCCTGCTTTTCTTCAGCAGGGACAGGGAAGATGGCTAAAATTGATGGGAAGATGGATGGAGCCAAATACAGGACCATTCTGGAAGAAAACCTGTTGGAGTCTGCAAAAGACCTGAGACTGGGACGGAGATTTATCTTCCAACAGGACAATGATCCAAAACATAAAGCCAAATCTACAATGGAATGGTTCACAAATAGACGTATCCAGGTGTTAGAATGGCCAAGTCAAAGTCCAGACCTGAATCCAATCCAGAATCTGTGGAAAGAGCTGAAGACTGCTGTTCACAAACGCTCTCCATCCAACCTCACTGAGCTCCAGCTGTTTTGCAAGGAAGAATGGGCAAGAATTCCAGTCTCTCGATGTGCAAAACTGATAGAGACATACCCCAAGCGACTTGCAGCTGTAATTGCAGCAAAAGGTGGCCTTACAAAGTATTAGCGCAAGGGGCCGAATAATATTGCACGCCCCACTTTTAAGTTTTTTATTTGTTAAAAAAGTTTAAATTATCCAATACATTTTGTTCCACTTCACGATTGTGTTTCACTTGTTGATTCATGACAAAAAATTCAAATTTTATATCTTTATGTTTGAAGCCTGAAATGTGGCGAAATGTTGAAAGGTTCAAGGGGGCCGAATACTTTCGCAAGGCACTGTACATAGATAGAGACCAGATGTCCGGCAGCTACAACACCTGTCAATGTGGGCTTCCCTGAGGTTCCTCACTTTTCCCACTGGGTTTAGAGTTTCTTTGCAGATGCAGGAAAGTCTGTTGGAGTTTGTGAGGTTTAACTAAAAGGTCCAGGACACATTTATGGACACTGGTCTCTACTCCTCACTGGTCTCTGCTCCTCACTGGTCTCTGCTCCTCACTGGTCTCTGCTCCTCACTGGTCTCTGCTCCTCACTGGTCTCTGCTCCTCACTGGTCTCTGCTCCTTATGGTTGTGTTTTATTCTATGATCTGTGTCACAAATTCAACGGTTTTGCGGAGTCCTCCAAAGATAACTAAAGTTGTGATTTAGGGCGTTACAAGAATTGAAAGTACATGAATTATAAACATATCTAACAAACTAACTAACAATAGTTCACATGTTGATCCAGAGATTATGAGAATTATCCATTAATTATCCTCTCTGATACTTTTAGTGCTTGTCCATCCTTATATTGTCTGTTTTGGAGCGGAGCAGTTTTATTTTTCACGACTCCCTGGAGATGGATCCAGTCAGAGCTATTTAAGGACCTGGCTCCTCGGCTCCAGGACCCAGGACCCTGGACCCTGGACCCTGGACCCTGGACCCTGGACCCTGGACCCTGGACCCAAACAGCTCTCACTGATGAAGCACAGTTTGTCTTGGCCTCAGACACAGACGACCTCTGACCCTGGGCCTGGACTCAGTTTGGATCCACCCAGAAAGAACACTTCTGAAGATGTAAATAATGTGACAAGTTTGGAATAAAATGATTCCAGCGTTTAAAGGACGTCTCTGGAAGCCCCTGGAGCAGAATCTTGGGAACTTTCTATACAGCGACTTGGCTCCACACTAGGGTTGTCAAAAGTAGGATCAACAATCAGGTAATTATTCATTGCTAAAACTGGTTTATAACTGCTAATTGGAGAAAGTATTGATAATGAGTAAACGTACAATAAAAGACAACATTCGACGTTTCTTTCAGATTTTCAGATTAGTTGTTTACTTTTAAACTATATAAATATTTAGGTAAATACTTAAATGATCCTGTAAGAGAAATGCAGGTGTCCAGCAGCAGCAACACAAATACACAGGAAACATACATGTAACATGTTCAACAGTGTTGAGAGCAGTGTGTGTGTGTGTGTGTGTGTGTGTGTGTGTCTCAGTATGTGTGTGTGTGTGTCTCTCAGTGTGTGTGTCAGTATGTGTGTGTGTGTGTCTCAGTGTGTGTGTGTGTGTGTCTGTGTGTGTGTGTGTGTGTGTGTGTCTCAGTGTGTGTGTCAGTATGTGTGTGTGTGTGTGTCTCAGTGTGTGTGTGTGTGTGTGTGTCTCAGTGTGTGTGTGTGTGTGTGTGTGTGTGTGTGTGTCTCAGTGTGTGTGTCAGTATGTGTGTGTGTGTGTGTCTCAGTGTGTGTGTGTGTGTGTGTGTGTGTGTGTCAGTATGTGTGTGTGTGTGTGTGGCTCAGTATGTGTGTGTGTCTCAGTATAATTGTGTTTCACAGAGTGTGTGTGTCACAGTGTGTGTGTGTGTGTCTCAGTATAATTGTGTTTCACAGAGTGTGTATGTCACAGTGTGTGTGTGTCTCAGTATGTGTGTGTGTGTCACTGTGTGTGTGTGTGTGTGTTTCAGATGACTTGGGGACCTTGCTTCTGGCTGAGTGTCTGTTGGAGGAGTGTTTGCAGAAGCACATGGAGCAGCTCAGACGATGCAAACCTCTGGAAGATAAGACTGTGTCTAAACTGAGCCGCTCCAAGAACCTGCTCAACACGGCTCTGAGCCGCGGGCGCCTCACGGTCTGTACACAACACACACTAACACACTGACACACAACACACTGACACACAACATGGCTCTGAGCCGCGGGCGCCTCACGGTCTGTACACAACACACACTAACACACTGACACACAACACACTGACACACAACACGGCTCTGAGCCGCGGACGCCTCACGGTCTGTACACAACACACACTAACACACTGACACACAACACACTGACACACAACACGGCTCTGAGCCGCGGGCGCCTCACGGTCTGTACACAACACACACTAACACACTGACACACAACACACTGACACACAACAGACTAATCCATGCTCATATGAAATTCTCTAGTGCACAGTGTATTTGTATTGCACAGTTCATACACAAGGCAACACAAAGTGCTTAACAATACAAACAATAGTTGTGTGACGCTAATCCTTTGTTGTGGCTCCAGCCGCGGTACCTGAACGAGGCGCTGCTGCTGATGGCGAAGGTGCATTATGTCCAGGGCAGATACAGAGACGCCCAGGGCATGTGTGCACGTGTGGGTCTGGAGGAGCTGACCCAGGACGACCAGCCCATCTACCACCTGCGCCTGCTGGCAGAGGCCTTCGTCATCAAAGGTACGGCCTGGAGCTTCACCACTGAGGCTTAGTTCAGGGACAGCCCATCTACCACCTGCGCCTGCTGGCAGAGGCCTTCGTCATCAAAGGTACGGCCTGGAGCTTCACCACTGAAGCTTAGTTCAGGGACAGCCCATCTACCACCTGCGCCTGCTGGCAGAGGCCTTCGTCATCAAAGGTACGGCCTGGAGCTTCACCACTGAAGCTTAGTTCAGGGACAGCCCATCTACCACCTGCGCCTGCTGGCAGAGGCCTTCGTCATCAAAGGTACGGCCTGGAGCTTCACCACTGAAGCTTAGTTCAGGGACAGCCCATCTACCACCTGCGCCTGCTGGCAGAGGCCTTCGTCATCAAAGGTACGGCCTGGAGCTTCACCACTGAAGCTTAGTTCAGGGACAGCCCATCTACCACCTGCGCCTGCTGGCAGAGGCCTTCGTCATCAAAGGTACGGCCTGGAGCTTCACCACTGAGGCTTAGTTCAGGGACAGCCCATCTACCACCTGCGCCTGCTGGCAGAGGCCTTCGTCATCAAAGGTACGGCCTGGAGCTTCACCACTGAAGCTTAGTTCAGGGACAGCCCATCTACCACCTGCGCCTGCTGGCAGAGGCCTTCGTCATCAAAGGTACGGCCTGGAGCTTCACCACTGAGGCTTAGTTCAGGGACAGTGGAGTTTGTGATAGGCAAAAATAAGTTATACTTCACCCAATCTCTTCGGTCACAGATACGTTTGTAAATCTGTGTTAAAGTACAGACATTGACTCAAGCTAAATTGTTTTTTGTAAAAAATTGTATGATGGAATAAACAAACTTACTTCTAAGTGAGTCTTTCATCTGACCTCTCCCTTGGACCCCCCTTTACACCCCCATGTCTCCCTCTGCACCTTCTGCAGTTCTGCACCTTCACCCATCTGCAAATGGAAAATTGAACTTGAATTAGGAAAAAGAAATAATCATGATCTACAGCCCTGTTAGAAACTGAATAGTAAGTATTTATATTACAAGGATGGTTCCAAATGTGTTTTATTGGTTACTTCTCACACAAGAGTTTGCTGCGATTGTTTATGCCACAGCTTTTATGAAACCCACCACTGTCGAGGTTTGCACTTTCAGAATGATGAGTTTGCTGGTGCTGGGTGTGAGTTATGGAGACCTGAGTCCTTCATGACCGTGTAGGGCTCTGGACACAGGCGGACTGCAGCTGTGGAGGATCAGCCTGAGTGGACACAGGGAGAGGCCAGACCAGATGGACTGAGTCTGGACGCCATTTTGACAGACCACGTGTAATGAGATCCTGTCATTTTGGACCAAATGAGACTTCCACCGTCTTCACTGTTGTGCACTTTATACAACCAGGCACAATTTACAGTTTTTTCACTCATTGTCAGTGGTTGTGTGAAGTCAAATAACTAAAATAAATATTGTTAAAGAAAAATGGGATCAAGGCTTCAGCAGTCTCTCGCACCAAACCCGGTTTAATTTTGAGTTATTTAGTGGTAGTTTTGGATGAGGTTCTGTAACCTCATCTGAAGGAGAATCTGCCTCATTCATCGTTGCAAATCCGGCTCTCCCCTCGCTCTAAAAACAAGTACAAAGGGTATGATACTGCAATTCAGGACCAGGACCAGTCTGGGCGGGTCCCGGCTCAGAAGGGTCCATAAACACGTGTGCTGACATGCTGCAGTACCACCCCGGGCCTGTGGGGGTGCACAGAAAAGAGAATTATCAACTGACTTCTTACAACGTCATCTTTCCTCTCAAAAACGGCTTTACAGGATGGTCCTACAGTGGTTCTTGGTCCTAAAGTGGTTCTTGGTCCAAAAGTGGTTCTTGGTCCAAAAGTGGTTCTTGGTCCAAACGTGGTTCTTGGTCCAAAAGTGGTTCTTGGTCCAAAAGTGGCTCTTGGTCCAAAGTAGTTCTTGGTCCAAAAGTGGTTCTTGGTCCAAAGGGGTTCTTGGTCTTAAAGTGGTTCTTGGTCACTCTTGGTCCAAAAGTGGCTCTTGGTAAAAAAGTGGCTCTTGGTCCAAAGTAGTTCTTGGTCCTAAAGGGGTTCTTGGTCCTAAAGTGGTTCTTGGTCCAAAGTGGTTCTTGGTCACTCTTGGTCCAAAGGGGTTCTTGGTCCAAAAGTGGCTCTTGGTCCAAAGTAGTTCTTGGTCCAAAAGTGGTTCTTGGTCCAAAGGGGTTCTTGGTCTTAAAGTGGTTCTTGGTCCAAAAGTGGCTCTTGGTCCAAAGTAGTTCTTGGTCCAAAAGTGGTTCTTGGTCCAAAGGGGTTCTTGGTCTTAAAGTGGTTCTTGGTCACTCTTGGTCCAAAAGTGGCTCTTGGTAAAAAAGTGGCTCTTGGTCCAAAGTAGTTCTTGGTCCTAAAGGGGTTCTTGGTCCTAAAGTGGTTCTTGGTCCAAAGTGGTTCTTGGTCACTCTTGGTCCAAAGGGGTTCTTGGTCCTAAAGTGGTTCTTGGTCCAAAAGTGGCTCTTGGTCCAAAGTAGTTCTTGGTCCAAAAGTGGTTCTTGGTCCAAAAGTAGTTCTTGGTCCAAAAGTGGCTCTTGGTCCTAAAGTGGCTCTTGGTCCAAAGTAGTTCTTGGTCCAAAAGTGGCTCTTGGTCCTAAAGTGGCTCTTGGTCCAAAGTAGTTCTTGGTCCAAAAGTGGCTCTTAATCCTAAAGTGGCTCTTGGTCCAAAGTAGTTCTTGGTCCAAAAGTGGCTCTTGGTCCTAAAGTGGCTCTTGGTCCAAAGTAGTTCTTGGTCCAAAAGTGGCTCTTGGTCCTAAAGTGGCTCTTGGTCCAAAGTAGTTCTTGGTCCAAAAGTGGCTCTTGGTCCAAAAGTAGTTCTTGGTCCAAAAGTGGCTCTTGGTCCAAAACTACGTTACAGATCTTGTTAATACTTTTTTCTTTTTTTTTAGACCAACCTAGTTTAGCCGCTGTGGACTTTAGAATGCACTTGTTAAATGAATGGACAAATGTGTATTTTTCACTTATTCCTGAGGGAGGGGCTGTTTGGAATCTGCCCACGTCTGTGGCACATTCAGTTCAATGGAGAAAACAGTACAGTACCTTAATATTCAGGGTCTATGGTCCAGACCGAGCCTCTGCAGCTGGACCCTCAGACCCCTGACAGAGGCTTTGGAGGGTCAGGAAAATATCTATGTCTGCAAAGAGGTTCTTACTATTTACACACAAACCTACATCAGAAACACTAAAACATCAGATAAGATAAACTTTATTGACCTCACAATGGAGAGAATTACCCGCAATAAACCTGCATTTTTTCCTGCCTTTACATAAATATCAAAAAACTGGATTCACAAACTCTAAAATATGAAATGATTAGTTTATATGAATAAATTGTCATATTTTTTCATCGTTACAAATTTCCCAATTCAACATCGTTCCCAAATACAGCAAATTCTTCTCTTCTTTTGACCTCGAAGTTGTTTTTCCTCCTGGACCTGAGCTGACCGCAGCTTATTCAAACAAACCACTTCCCAAAGAAGCCACGGACCAAATATTAACGTCGGATTGACTCTGAAACAACATAGTCCAAACATAGACCATGAAAACCAGCCTCAAGAACTCAGACTGCAGTGTTTGGGGTTAGAAAGTGCTGTTTTGTGCATAACAGGGAAACGTGTTGATAAAGAGCTGGTGTTGTGTTCCGAGGGCTGTGGCTGAGCTCACGTCCGATCAGGAGGAAACAGAACAGTGTAATTACTTCATAATGAACAGTTTAATCTCATTATCTAAGTCCTGAATACTATTATCTACTGCTCTGGAAATGCCACACAATGATGTCATAGAATCGACTGGATCGGTGGCTTTGGTCATAGATGAACGGTTATTTGGGTTTCATATTCATTCATTGGTCACGTTCAGAGTGTGAGACTAAAGCAGTCTGTTTGTCTGAGGCTGATTTCATAAATGTGTTGTGATATACACCTTTAACTAACCCTAACCCAACATCACCAAACTGTACCCTGGCCTGAAAGGAGTAGCTCTCTGCCTTTATGGTCCTGGGACAGTAGCTCTCTGCCTTTATGGTCCTGGGACAGTAGCTCTCTGCCTTTATGGTCCTAGGACAGTAGCTCTCTGCCTTTATGGTCCTGGGACAGGATCTCTCTGCCTTTATGGTCCTGGGAAAGTAGCTCTCTGCCTTTATGGTCCTGGGACAGTAGCTCTCTGCCTTTATGGTCCTGGGACAGTAGCTCTCTGCCTTTATGGTCCTGGGACAGTAGCTCTCTGCCTTTATGGTCCTGGGACAGTAGCTCTCTGCCTTTATGGTCCTGGAACAGTTGCTCTCTGCCTTTATGGTCCTGGGAAAGTAGCTCTCTGCCTTTATGGTCCTGGGACAGTAGCTCTCTGCCTTTATGGTCCTGGGACAGTAGCTCTCTGCCTTTATGGTCCTGGGACAGTAGCTCTCTGCCTTTATGGTCCTGGGACAGTAGCTCTCTGGGTGAAAAAGGTTGCACACACCTGATGTAGACCGTGTTGTTGTAGCAATAATGACTTCTCATGATCAAGATATTAGGAAGAAATCAATGAAAATGAAGTCAGGGCCACAATAATACTTATACACACACATACACACACACACACACACACACACACACACACACACACACACACACACACACACACACACACATACACAGATACACACACACACACACACAGATACACACACACACACACACATACACAGATACACACACACACACACATATACACAGACACACACACACACACACACATATACACAGATACACACACACACACACACACACACACACATACACAGATACACACACACATACACAGATACACACACACACACACACACATACACAGATACACACACACACACACACACACACACACACACACACACGGCCTGGAACAAGTGTGTTTGAAGCTTCTTTAACCTCGGCCCTGGTTTGGTGCAGGGCTGTCTCTGGGACATCAGACGGCAACGGGTTTGTCCAGGGTTCGTCTGTCGGAGCGAGAGGAGGAGAGTCTGTCCTGTTTCCTCAAAGCCTGTGACGCTGCTCTGTCTTTCCTGCAGGAGCTGGACAAGGTAAAGCTGGGGTACCTGACTTTCAAACTACAACACAGTCTCTATCTTTACATCAGCTTTTTCAGACAGAGAAGTGAAAAAGAGAGAACCAGCCTCAATCTGCTCTTAGCCCAAAGCTTCAGGAAGTGATTCACATGGACCTGTCTTTCTGATGAAGACAGCATCAGGAGAAGAAACTGTGCCTCGCTTTAATGAGGTCAGACTGAGGAATTCCATCGTCCATCCGGAAACTCAATGAGGAGCTTTAATCATAAAGTCAAATATGTCATCACGGGAAATGTCCTGTGTGTGAGTTTACATTTACAGTGCCTTGCAAAAGTATTCAGCCCCCTTGAACCTTTCAACATTTCGCCACATTTCAGTCTTCAAACATAAAGATATAACATTTTAATTTTTTGTCATGAATCAGCAACAAGTGGGACACAATCTTGAAGTGGAACGACATTTATTGGATAATTTAAACTTTTTTAACAAATAAAAAACTGAAAAGTGGGGCGTGCAATATTATTGGGCCCCTTTACTTTCAGTGCAGCAAACTCAGTCCAGAAGTTCAGTGAGGATCTTTGAATGATCCAATGTTGTCCTAAATGACTGATGATGATAAATAGAATGCACCTGTGTGTAATCAAGTCTCCGTATAAATGCACCTGCTCTTTGATAGTCTCAGGGTTCTGTTTAAAGCGCAGAGAGAACCATGAAGACAAAGGAACACACCAGGCAGGTCATCATCATCATCAGTCATTTAGGACAACATTGGATCATTCAAAGATCCTCACTGAACTTCTGGACTGAGTTTGCTGCACTGAAAGTAAAGGGGCCCAATAATATTGCACGCCCTACTTTTCAGTTTTTTATTTGTTAAAAAAAGTTTAAATTATCCAATAAATTTCGTTCCACTTCACGATTGTGTCCCACCCGTTGTTGATTCATGATTTTTTTTTTAAATCTTATATCTTTATGTTTGAAGACTGAAATGTGGCGAAATGTTGAAAGGTTCAAGGTGTACTGTACATGGAGCTGCTGAACTGTAAACAACACATTTTGGACCCATGTGGCTGACAATAAAATAGTTATCTCTCTATCTATGAATATAATCTATCCATCTATCCATCCATCTCTCTATCTATCCGTCTATCTATTTATTTATTGTGGTTTGGTTTGACACGGTACTTTACAGCCGCCCCTCTGGGAACCTGCTGTTCCCAGAGGTCTCCCATCACATTCCTAACTAGGCCCTGCCCTGCTTAGCTTCAGAGGTCTGAAAGAATCTGGTTTCACCTACAGGTGGTACCACACACGGTTTTAAAGGTTTGGGATCTTCTGTCTTGGTCATTGCAGTATGACAGTTATTTACAAAACCCACTAAATGCGACGCATGCATGGATCTGATTGGATTAGGTGCAGTCCATGTAAATATTCCAGATTATAGGATTATGTCTGTCCCTGAGAAGTCTGTTTTATTCTTTCCTTTGTCCTCAGCACGTGTCGACGCCGCACTCAAAGACGCCGAAATCCCACAGTCCTCTGCCTCCTCCTCCAGACATCGAGCTGGGATACTTCCTCCAGGCCGCACTGCAGAGCGGGTACCTGTGTCTGCTGCACCGAGGGTGGGTCTGAGCCTCACTGACCCACTCTGACCCACTCTGACCCACTCTGACCCACACTGACCCACTCTGACCCACTCTGACCCACTCTGACCCACACTGACCCACTCTGACCCACACTGACCCACACTGACCCACTCTGACCCACTCTGACCCACTCTGACCCACACTGACCCACACTGACCCACACTGACCCACTCTGACCCACTCTGACCCACTCTGACCCACACTGACCCATTCTGACCCACACTGACCCACTCTGACCCACTCTGACCCACACTGACCCACTCTGACCCACACTGACCCACTCTGACCCACACTGACCCACTCTGACCCACTCTGACCCACACTGACCCACTCTGACCCACTCTGACCCAAACTGACCCTCTCTGACCCTCTCTGACCCTCTCTGACCCAGTCAGACCCTCTCTGACCCACTCTGACCCACTCTGACTCACTCTGACCCACTCTGACCCACTCTGACCCACACTGACCCACACTGACCCACTCTGACCCACTCTGACCCACTCTGACCCACTCTGACCCACTCTGACCCACTCTGACCCACTCTGACCCACTCTGACCCACTCTGACCCACTCTGACCCACTCTGACCCACACTGACCCACACTGACCCACTCTGACCCACACTGACCCATTCTGACCCACACTGACCCACTCTGACCCACTCTGACCCACACTGACCCACTCTGACCCACACTGACCCATTCTGACCCACTCTGACCCACTCTGACCCACTCTGACCCACACTGACCCACTCTGACCCAAACTGACCCTCTCTGACCCTCTCTGACCCTCTCTGACCCAGTCAGACCCCTCTCTGACCCACTCTGACCCACTCTGACTCACTCTGACCCACTCTGACCCTCTCTGACCCACTCTGACCCAGTCAGACCCACTCTGACCCACTCTGACCCACTCTGACCCTCTCTGACCCTTTCTGACCCACTCTGACCCACTCTGACCCACACTGACCCTCTCTGACCCTCTCTGCCCCTCTCTGACCCACTCTGACCCACACTGACCCACACTGACCCTCTCTGACCCACTCTGACCCTCTCTGACCCACTCTGACCCACACTGACCCTCTCTGACCCACTCTGACCCACACTGACCCACACTGACCCTCTCTGACCCTCTCTGACCCACTCTGACCCTCTCTGACCCCACTCTGACCCACTCTGACCCACACTGACCCACACTGACCCACACTGACCCACTCTGACCCACACTGACCCACTCTGACCCTCTCTGACCCTCTCTGACCCACTCTGACCCTCTCTGACCCACTCTGACCCTCTCTGACCCACTCTGACCCACTCTGACCCACACTGACCCACTCTGACCCACACTGACCCACTCTGACCCTCTCTGACCCTCTCTGACCCACACTGACCCAGTCTGACCCACTCTGACCCTCTCTGACCCACTCTGACCCACACTGACCCACACTGACCCACTCTGACCCTCTTTGACCCACTCTGACCCACTCTGACCCACACTGACCCACTCTGACCCTCTTTGACTCACTCTGCACTCTGACCCACTCTGACCCACTCTGACCCTCTCTGACCCACTCTGACCCTCTCTGACCCACTCTGACCCACACTGACCCTCTCTGACCCACTCTGACCCACACTGACCCTCTCTGACCCACTCTGACCCACACTGACCCAGTCTGACCCACACTGACCCTCTCTGACCCACACTGACCCAGTCTGACCCACTCTGACCCTCTCTGACCCACACTGACCCACACTGACCCGGTCTGACCCACACTGACCCTCTCTGACCCACACTGACCCAGTCTGACCCACTCTGACCCTCTCTGACCCTCTCTGACCCACACTGACCCAGTCTGACCCACTCTGACCCTCTCTGACCCACACTGACCCTCTCTGACCCACTCTGACCCACTCTGACCCACACTGACCCTCTCTGACCCAGTCTGACCCTCTCTGACCCACACTGACCCACACTGACCCAGTCTGACCCACTCTGACCCTCTCTGACCCAGTCTGACCCTCTCTGACCCACACTGACCCACACTGACCCACACTGACCCAGTCTGACCCACTCTGACCCTCTCTGACCCACACTGACCCACACTGACCCAGTCTGACCCACACTGACCCTCTCTGACCCACACTGACCCACTCTGACCCACACTGACCCTCTCTGACCCACTCTGACCCAGTCTGACCCACTCTGACCCTCTCTGACCCTCTCTGACCCACACTGACCCAGTCTGACCCACTCTAACCCTCTCTGACCCACTCTGACCCACACTGACCCTCTCTGACCCACACTGACCCGGTCTGACCCACACTGACCCTCTTTGACCCACACTGACCCAGTCTGACCCACTCTGACCCTCTCTGACCCTCTCTGACCCACACTGACCCTCTCTGACCCACACTGACCCTCTCTGACCCACACTGACCCTCTCTGACCCGGTCTGACCCACACTGACCCTCTCTGACCCACACTGAC